GAGAGAGAGAGAGAGGAAAGTGGGAGGAAACACAATTTTATTTATTCTGACCAGATGCAACCTGGTATGAGAAAATTTTGAATTTTGATAGAGATGTGCAATATTTTTAGAGAGAGAAAGTGGAGGACACAAATTCCTCAATTGTTGGTATGAACAGCAGAGAGAGGAGAGGAGAGAGGCAAGAGGGAGGAAATGCGATTATTCGAAACCCCGCGACGCGGTTTTAATTTCAAGATTCAAGGAAGAGGGGACGGGGGAAGCACGGACCGCGTCTTGGCGTGACTGCGATGCTGACCAAGTGGCCGTCCATCACGATTTAAACCCTAGAGACGGGAAACTTACCAAAACAACTCAAATCTTATATAGAAAGGACCCAGTGTCAACGTTGTTTTTTTTTTTGGAAGGATTAATTTTCTCTTTAACATAATAAAAAAGAGGAAGTCTCTTTTGTAGACAATTCCTAACAAAAAAGAAAAAAAAATATCTATGTAAGGTTACAAAGTGTAGAATTAAATATGCGCCTCAAAAATCCATCGAAAAATGTTGTTTTAATGTTGAAAAACCCTCTAATTGATCATCTCGACAACAAGATCTATGAAAATGAAAAAAAAAAAAAAAAAAAAAATTTTGAGTCCCAAAAATAGTGCAACTTGTAGCACATTATCTAGACTATATCCATTTTCAAGATTTTTATATGTTTATAAATTTACTTGATTTTAACTATTTTTTCAGTTTAAATTTTATAATTAGATATGAAAATAGATTTTCAAATAATCCTAATAATGTTTTACACCAAAATTATAAAATTTGGAGTTACACCTTAATTACATTGTTTAAGGTTGCAACCTTATAGCAACCACACCTTCTGCTTTTTGGGATAAGCCAAGAAATCAACTCATGAAGATCAGATCTTACTCTCAGGTTTTATTGGTTGGACTACAAACTAGTGCCTAAGTTGATCCGATCTAAAGTAAAAACTGTTTTTTGTTAAAAATCAGTAAAAATGAATATTTGATCAATTGTGATCGGTTGGACCATATGGTTTCTATTTTCATATAGTAGACAAAGTTGGGTATTTCTTGTAATATATTACAGTTTTAAAATTATTTTCTTAGTCTTGAATTTTTTTAAAAATCAAGTTCAAATATGTGATCAAATTGATTTCGACTGAACCATATCTCTTACCTCTTTAGTGACCAGCACAATATTGGTACTGCTCTTTAATAATTTTAAAGTTAGTGTTTTCATCCTTGGTTGAACTTTTTCTTTTTATTTATCCCTAACCTTTCAATGATATGATTACCCAAAATTCAAACATTTTGTTTATGAGTAAGCTATAATTTTTAAGAAGAAGTACCATAATATGTGCCCCTGATATGTTTGGTGCTTAGCAATGAACGACTTAAAATTTTGTTAAAAGCTTATGTGAAAAGCTTCATGGTAGGATTCTGAATGAGCCCATGAAACGAATAAACAAAAAAAAAAATGGAACAAATTTTTACTCTGTCTAATTTCTACTGTTGAAGTTTTGAATGTTTGTATTATAGATGGACTTGACATTTCCCCCATTTCTCGAATTGTACAAATAATACATAATGGAAATATGTTTCATGTGGACTGGACCACATGACTACATATGCCATCCAAAAAATGTTAAGTATCCATCTTAGAGATGGATGCAAGTAGGTGTTCCATCTCAAAACAATGGAAACTACCGATCCAAATGTTTTTTTACTAGAATTATTACTTATAGTTTTTAAAATTTACGGATTTTTGTATTTTCAAGATCGCCATGTTAGAGATTACGTATCCTTAAAAATTAAACCCAAAAATCTATCTCAAAAATAAATTTATTAATAGGCTCGCACTTCTACGTATACAGCCTTAGCCGCGTAGAAACCGAGACCATACATAATTTCCTAATATTTTAAGCCATTTGGATATAAGAATCACATTCTTGGCATTAGAAGAAAAAGTTAGATTTTTGAACATATGACCCGTTACCATTTGAACGTGTAGAAAGGAATCCAGAGACGCAACAAAGGCTCAGATGGGGAAGGGCCAAGTGCTATTACTTTTGCATGTATATATACTATGCTCCCTCGGGGAGCATTAGTTTATTTCTAAATTTAAAGGGTGGACTTTTTAATAAATGTCGTTTGTATAAGGCCGAGGCTCTAAACAATCAAAGTAAGACATACTTTTATATAGTGCGAAATATATTGTTCGGGTATCAGAAATCTTTATGATGACCAGAAAATTTATTTTCATATCTGGTTATAAAATTTAAATATTTAAAAATAGTCTAGATCGAGCTGATCTATGAACACTTGAAAAACTTTGAAAATTGATGGTCTAGATAATGTATTACAAGATGCACTGTTTCTAAGACTTGAAATCTTTTATTATTTTTATTATTTTTATTTTTTTGATGTCCATAAATCTTGAGGTTGAGATAATCGAAATGAGAGTTTTTCAACATAAAAAAAGCCTTTTTGTGTGGTTTTTTGAGGTGCGCCTTAATTTGAATGTTTAGGGCCTCGGCTTATATGAACTTTTTCCTTTTTTTAACATGAAATTTGGGATACTACTTACTAGATGATTATTCTTGTAACAAAAGTTAGAAATTTGAGTTTTCTAACACGTATATCTCACCAACTGGAAATTTTGAGGGTCCATATTTAGTCTCAATATATTATACTTTTAAATGCAGAGAGGGTACAATTAGAAAGAATATCTTTAATTGATAATAACCCATGTGATGAAGAATTATATCCCAAAATTTAGGTTCCTAAAATTAATTCGAAGTGAGATTTTACGCGAGGGAGTACATGCGCATTTTGCTCTCGAAGGAGTAGAATATCTTTTGGCTTTACTTTGGCCTTTTTTGACCTGGCTTCTTACTTAGCTACCATTCATTTTCATTTATTTCTTTGTTCCTAGAAGCGGTAGCCGTGGCTTGGACTTAAAGCGCACCTCTTGGACTTCACCTAGTTCCACCACGTGGCATCATAATAAAGGATAAAAAATTAGAAAGGCAACGGCACTCGCGGAGAGGAGACGCTGCATACATTTTCTCCACCTCCAAGTGGCTACCACTAATAGCATTATGCATGTTGGGTGGTGCACACTATTTGTGCAATAAATCAAATATGAATGAGGCTTGAGGGCAAGGTTTTTATGCTTTGGTGGAATAGCATTATCCATGTTTTTTACCCAAAAACCTAGATTGGCCACTCCTTGAGATTCAACTATCCTTACGTAAATGTGTTACCCAAACAAGAGACAAGGACCCAATACCTGGATAGCCCTTATTCTTGAGAGTCCAACCTAGGTACCCAAACAGGCTCTTCGTAACTTTATAGGTTTCGAATAAATGTGAGAGAAAGTTGAGTTCCAAATAAGTCCCCCCTTTTTTATTGTATTTAAGGTTGACAATGTCTATTGTTTTCCTACCTGAATTATTTTTTCAAATGTAGTCCTTTCATTTCTATTGTTTTAAAGAAAATTGTCATGTTTGAAAGAGTCTTGATACTCATGTCATTTTGTTGGAGTTAAATTACTAAAATATCTTCGAATGCTTTCAAGGTTTTGAACCTAAATAAGGGTAATTTAGATATTTAAAAATAATTTGTTCATGAGGGGACCTTAATGAAATGTAAATTAGTAAGAAAACTCGATAATGTAAATAGAAATGTTATGAATATTTAAAGGGATTGTCTACAAAGGGACTGTTTATTTTTTGTACAAGGAGATCATAACTATTCCCACTCATTAGATGTCGAATTTGATGGCTTGGGGGGTGAGTCACAAAGCCCGATAATTTTTTTTTTGAAATTTTTTTTCTAATTAAAGAAACTCTTACAACTACCCATTTTGAAATTTAAGAGATCAAAATGATTGTTATCTCCTCATACAAAAGGTAAATGGTCTCTTTGTAAACAATCTCATATTTATAAGGAGCTTAAAACTCCTACCATGCTGTTTTTTTCTTGTCTTTCAGCCTTAGGAGCTCATACCATAACTCTTATTTGGGATTGTATACTATAGGACCGTTCATTTTTTGTACAAGGAGGTCACAATTGTTACTAGCCAGTTAATGTCAAATTCGATAGCATTAGATGTCAAATTGGATGGCTTGGAGTATATCACAAAGTTTAGATTTTTTTTTTTTTCTGAACTTTTAGTCTAGTCAGTAACACACTCACAACCACCCGATTTGATTTATGTCGGACCAAAGTGATTATGACCTATTTGTATTTAAATTATGAAAAATATACAAAAAAATTATTTACTTTTGATACAAGAAGATCACAACTACTTTTGTTCGTTAGATTTCAAATCAGGTAGTTGTAAGAGTCGTATTAATTAGAATCAAAAGTTGTAAAAAAAATTTCTTGAACTCTGACATCATTATCATTATCACCATCATTATCATTTTAGCTTTTTACCAATTAATTGGAATTGGCTGCATAAGTCGTGGTTCTTTATTAAGCTCTATTAAATGTCATAT